TGGATGGTCTTTAAGGCCCCTTCCAACCCAAACCGTTCTATGAAAGTCTCAAGAACACTAATTCTAATTAATCAAAACTTAATTTCAAATTATTAAGATAAGGTCACACTAATTCTGAATAAGCGTGTACTTACAAGAATCATAATCACTCTTCATAATTTTAAAAATGTGACTTCCTTTGAGCGAAACAAGTCCTTAGCACTTTTTCTTTATCAGAAGTAGTGATATCTCAGACTTCAGAGGACTAGGAGTATAAGCCCTATTTCAGTTTAAATTTAATTATCTTTTTAAATTCCCTGCTGGTGATGGCTTGGAATGGGAAAGCAGCATGTTTTGATATGCCAGGTGGATTTAATTTGGGGGTTTGTCACACCATGATATATTTTTCAAGTTTTGCATTGTTCTAGAACTGGACCCTTCTAATCAGAGTAGAATGTGTTTATGAAAAACCTATGGCAAAAAAAAAAGTATATGCAAGCTCTCATTCCAAGAGACAGTTATGGACCATTTTTCTGTAGAAGAAAGTATTCAATAAGTCAATAAAATACCATACTCCTAAAATGTTTCTGCAGCATAGGCAGGGTTGAATGATGAGGTGGTGGTCTTCAGGGTCCAAAGTGGAGGAAGCAGGGAAAACCCTGGATTTCAGGAGCCACACTATTTTTTAGTGCCCAGTGACAGGACAAGGGACAGTGGGTAGAAATTAAAACATTTAACGCTCCATGTGAATACAAACCCCACTCTTTTCCTGTGAGAAAGGTTGAGTCGTCTCTATCTGCAAACATTCAAAACCCAACAGGACACACCTGAGCAACCTGCTCTAGCTGACCTGCTGGAGCCGGGGGTTTGGATTAGAGAATCCCGTGAGATCCCTTCCACAGCAAACCTGTTCGAAGTTTGTTGTTCTGAATTATTTGACTGGGTATTCTACGTTGTCCTTAACAAGGTGCGGCGCGTTGTACTCAACGGCAGGTTCTTGTGTTCCTTGAAACGCAAAAACGCACCCTTGTTTTTGGAACCTAGGCATAATGAACATCTCATCCTTTTGTGTTGCCAGTCGAAGTGCTGGTCTTAATCTGAAATAATTCAGAGATGCTTTATGCATGACTGAATTCTGTTGCACTGCCAGTCTCAGTGGTTTACAGGAGGGGGGTGTCACTCTGTACAAACAAACTGTATAGCTGCAGAGGTATGAATGCTTGGGGAATGTTAAATGTTACGCTGCTTTCAGGAATTAAAGACTCTGCCATGGTTCCACGGACAAACATTTCTAATTGCTCTGGATTGCTGTTAATAATTTGCCTGTAAATATTTTGTTGTTGTGGGGTCTGGGATTTTTTTTTTGTCTGTTTGGATTTGGTGGGGTTTGGTTTTGGGTTTTTTTGGGAGGGGGGGGAAGGTGTTGCTTGTTTTGGTTTTGTTCTGCATTTAAGTATGGTAAGCTTTCAAAATGTTAACCATTAACTTTTGTATAGGGTGTACAACTACGAGCCACTGACTCAGCTGAAAAATGTTCGGGCCAACTGCTACGGAAAATACATCGCCCTGCGTGGTACTGTTGTGCGTGTCAGTAACATTAAGCCTCTCTGCACTAAGCTAGCTTTTGTATGTTGTGCATGTGGAGATGTTCAAAGCGTTCCTCTGCCGGATGGAAAGTACACTGTTCCAACTAAGGTAAGTTAGACCTTGTAACCTCACACTTTTCCCTTCTCTGTAGTGATTTGACGCAAAGCAGCACCGCTGGTATTGGGGAAAAAACAACCCAAAGCAAAAACCAAAGTTAAACCAACAGACACCTTGGAAAAAATTAAACTTACCATGCAACTCTGTATTACTGCATGCCCTTGTTTGTGTCCTGATGAACCAGGATCAGGGGGTGGAAACTTCTGCAAACCTAGGGGGATTCATTTCCATTTCACTGGTTACATTTAAAAAGCCTCCTCCACCTCACTGTGATGGTTTTCTATGCTTAGATTGTTTTTTTTTTTTTGTGGGTTTTGTTTAGAACTTTCTACTTTAACTTCACTGGTTTTTATCTCGATTTTAAAAGTAGTCATAGAATCATAGAATGGT